TACGGACATTTTGTAAAAATGTAATTTTTGGACGTTTTAAAACTTTTTAAACATTTCCCAAAGAAAACTGGAAAAAAAATTTTCACGAAAACCTGATGGTTAAAAAGTATAGTATACGTAACACATACGTACTATACATATATGCTTTTTAACTATCAGAGGTAAGCTACCTGACACTTGGAAAAACCGACTTTTAGTAATTTTTCAGAAACCCTTCTATTAAGTTTCAAGTGTAAGAATCGCGGACATTTTATTGTTTCATAGCTGTCTCAGAGCAATTGCAAAAACATTTTGCGATATTTCTGAAATATTTCTAAGAAATTTTTGTAACCTTACAGAAATCTTTCTATAAGCTTTCAAGTGTAAGAATCGCGGACATTTTACTGTTCCAGAGCTGTCTCAGAGCTATTGCAGAAACATTTTGCAATATTTATGAAACGTTTCAATCTATCACATGAAATATTTCTGAAATATTTCTGAAAGGTTTTTGTGCTGTATGGGTATTCCCAATATTGGTCCAATATTGTACGATGGTCGCCTTCTCTTATTTAGCCGACACGTCTTAATATTGTATCAATAAGACCAATCGTATTAGACCAATAGTCTTATCACATTGTTAAATATCAGCCAATGAACTTCGAATATAAATCTAATATTATATCATTATTATCGCGCAATAATTACATGGAGAATGTAAAACCCGATTCGCAACTAAGTCTCTAAGCTTCAATATAACGAGTTTCGATCGGATTCGTTACCTTTTCTCAATCCCATGTTTCGTAGCTTTGTAAATTCATTCCAAGGACGTCCGTCGTACTTCTCGTTAAGGCATATGTCGTGTATAAGCTTGCTGTCTGAGACAATAAGCATGCTATTAGAACCCAGCCGTAAACTTATGATACCGCTGTTGTATATCTTGCTGAGCTCCAGAAAGGCAATGTGTTGTCCGCCGAGTTGACGCGTTAATTTTTGTAAATAATATCGACTTCCAATAAACGGCCAAGGAAAGGGACCTGAAAATTACGGCTCCTTTGATGATGGAAATTAAAAACAAGTCTCTTAAGTATTGCCGCAGGTATCTTAATTAGAAATGCACACTCCTTTTATTACACTTTGAACTCTTTCGCCAACTCGGAATCCGCGGTCTTTCCCGAAACGTGTTATACCTAATTTGCAAATTCTGATTATCTAAAGTTGACGTGTATTATCGCGTATTCCCGTTTTCATTCGTTCTAATCTTCGAAAGAAAAAAACAATTACTTTTTAACGACGGTTTTTTACTGAGTTACATAACACCATTACGCGACTCTTATTACCGACAATTATTTCGTGCACAAAGTTAAATTTCTGTTAACTTCTTACATTTTCGAATAATACCCGGCGCAAAGTACACTCGTATTGAAACGCACATCGACTTCTGAACACATTAGACTTTCTTTGTAAATATCGAGAATATTTTAATACTTTCTAATTATATAGTGCGGATTTTATTTTACTTTACTTTACTTCGTTGACTTTAACTCGAGACCAAGACATTTAATAAACGAATATTTAAGCGTCAAATCTTTCAGGCAATTCATGGATAAATAGATTTCGACGAAAAATGACATTTACACGAAAATTATGACTTTCCTAGTCTAGACGGGCTTTCCAATTATGAACTTTTCAAACTAAATGCACAAATAAATTCATAGAATGTCGGAGATGTCGGATTAATCATCCGTTATCCTCTATATTTCGTATTTATAACTGTCATTGTGATGAAGTTAATTCTAAGTTTAACCTTGAATTATCTTCAAAGCTTATCTTCCACGTGAACCATTCAGTGTCTGTGTACATACGTTTGTGGTTACATGACTTTTATTTTAATGTTTTCAAGAACAGTAAAAACATTGTATTATGCCAACATTTTGTGAACAACGTGCTACACGAATTTAACGATTCGTATAAAGGAGTTGAACTATTCGTTGGAAAATAAATTTTCGACAAGAAAGATGCTAACTTTAGGTAGAAACGTACAGTTTATCTGTTTTAGTAATATATAATAATACATAATAAATAACACAATGTGGAATAAAAGTGTATCTTATATTTTAGAACAGCTGAAATAAATAAATAATTCCAAATTAAATGTTCATATAGTTTATGCTTATATGATTTAAAATGTTCATGTAATATCTATCTTTATAAAGTCATAAGTCAATGCTTCTCTCTCTCTCTCTCTCTCTCTCTCTCTCTCTCTCTCTCTCTCTCTCTCTCTCTCTCTCTCTCTCTCTCTCTCTCTCTCTCTCCATTAATTTTCATCAACAAATAATAACATGATAGTAATTAAATTAAGTAGTTCTGAAAGCAACTAACTTAATAACAACCTAATTCACTGTGTTTTATATTTTATTCTGACATATTTTTGAAACTTTTTAATTTTGATTGCTTAGCTAAAAGATGAACGCACGTACGTTACGCATTGTACATGTCTATCATAATTTTTAATTAAATCATTATGGACTTTAATGTGTCGATATAATTAACACGCAACAATTTCGTCTACTCTCGCCTCCATGAATTCTCTATGAAGAAATAACGATCCACTTTACAATGTCAAAGCGCTATTTCGAGAAACAAAAGGTATCCTCTCTCGCATGCGAAATATCTCACTATACTATTATTATATTGAAACGAAATTAAAAGTCATAAAATATATAAATAAAAGTCATATAAATAAAAGTAATAAAAATACATAAAAGATATAAAATTCCTTCTTCAGATCTTTGCAGATTTTTCGATCTGCAGCCGTTAACAAATCCGAATGCGGCTCACATTTTATATCTTTTATGTATTGCGTTGCGAGCGAATTTTAACCTTTGACTTTTATATTTAAATTATTTTCTCTTACTCTTTTTATACACTGAGAATGGTCTAAAGAAAGGCCGAAACGTTTGTAATTTTATGTTTCAAGTATACGAAACTTTTACTATTGTGACACTGACACCTAGTCAAGGCTCTTAGCCCTTTTATTCATTGATTTTCAATCGTCAGAGCCGTATTCTCTTACAGTGTCATTTATGTTTTCTTGAATTATTTTAGGTAATGTAACGTTATTTATACTTTCTTGATTTTGAGACACAAAGAATGTAAATTCAGGCTTAAAGGGAATAAAAATCGCACGAATTATTTTCCCTGTTAGTCGAAAAGTAAACATTAAAAGTTACGAATTTAAACAAAATGTTCATCTCATTAACACACGTTGTATCGCTTATTGTTATCTCTGAATTCAATTGCGTAGATACTGCTAAAGTATATAATAAATACATTACCTGGCGGACGTTTTGGTGTCTGTCGCAAGTAGACAGTAATAAGAAGAATAGTTAAGACCGCTAGAATGATAGCCACAGACATCGTGCCTCGCTCTTCCCTTTATAGCGCCGAGCCACGTGCTTTCCAAAAGAGCTTGTCGCGTTCTGCTCGTCTGAATGGCTCGGTAGGCGAGTTTCAAGAAGCTGGAGTCTTCCGATGTTGACGTTAACGTGCCCAACCAATAACGGCCACGTATCTAATACGATAAGATACAATACAACCCAAACTAATACGGGAATAGTTTCACCGGTGAGTGAAGGGAAAAAAAACTGTCGGATCAACACAACACAGATCGCGTAGGTCAATTGATCTAATGACATTAGGTCTGTTCTTTATTGCTCCACTCTTGAACTAGCGCACACTGGTGCAATGAGTTGGAACGAGAGGTAATCTAGTTGTTTAATTTTAACTCACTAGCTCAGTAGTGCAGTAATAAAGAACAGGCCTATGATTCGTACACGCGCGTACAATCGCACGTACGATCGCACGTACAGACGACAAAATTGTCTCGCACATGTGGATCGACTTGTGTAACTGGCCAGATTATTATCGAACTCATCCGGCCAACGGCAGTGCCTTTATCGCTTCTACGCGCATAAAGAAGGGAGTAACGCGCGAAATAGAAACATAAATAAAATTAAACACGCGCAATTTCGTGTGCCAATCGAAAGTCAGATTTATGGACGATTGGATAAAGGCTACGCACGACGGTAAATCCAGAATCCAATATATAGAAATTCGAAGCCAGAACTAACGCCGAAGCATGCGCGGTTTGCGGTAGCTCCAGATTCTCAAATTCGTATGAGATTCGCGAATAGAATGAACAGGCATTAATGGTCGAGCATTCGACGTTTACGCTCTTGTGCCGATACGTCAACGGAGTGATTTTTATCACGGAAAAAAATAATTTTGCTGTGATAGCAAAATCGCCGTTGCTATTGCATATTCGTAGTAATAGCAATAAAATTTAGTTGACAGAAGTAATTTTACGAATTATTCGTCATTATAGCAAAATCTATTTTGTTGCGAAGAATAGAACAAAATTCGCTGAGTGTATTTGTAATTAAAATCACATTAATTTGCTACTGACGCAAAATAATATATTCTTAGCAAATACATTTGCTGTCACAACGAAATAATTTGTTAATCCAGCAAATTATTCCAGCAAATTGCGATTAGTATTCGTAACAAATCTTCTTGCTATCCATATATAGTAACGAACAGATTTTGCTACAACAGCATAAAATCTGCTGTGTCAGCAAATTATTTTTCTCCGTGTAGTGATATTAACGAAATCAAGAGGTAGGAAGTCCATCGTAGCATTAAGAAATCTGAAAAGAATTCTTTTTGAATTCTTAAATTCTTATTAATAAAGAATTTACTGATTTTTTTCACCTCAGTTTCAAAAGTAATTTTAAGAATTTAAAAAGAAATGTTGTAATTAAAAAGTCGCATTAAAAAGAAACGTCGTAATTAAAAATTAAAATAAAAATTACTTGCCAGCAAAAGTCGCTTTAACTCTTGACTATATTTCTTCGATCACTGGCGACTTACCATTTCCAAAATATTTACTTTTTTTAAAAAAGAAATGTTAAAAGAATTCGCTTTTACGTCACCGCAAGAGTTTTTAATTTCAAAAAGAGTTCGCTTTTGTGTCACCAATTTTAACTGTAAACTCTTTTTCAAATACTAAGGAAGTTTTTTGTATTTAACAATTTTAATTTATTTCCGCGAGAAGTCAAAGGGTAAAGGAATTTCTTTTGAGTTAATTTGTAACAGATTACGATAATTCATAAACAATTTGAAAAAGTGAATCCTGCTCGAGTTTATAACAATCACCCGAGCTACTTGGACACGAATCGCACATCGACATTGGCTTAAGAGCTCGGATTTTCTTTCGGAATGCCCAAATATCATCATAAAAATATATCACCTTAAACGTTACATCCAAACAGTTCGCTCCTCCATTGAATTCTTATATTGATAAAGAAGAAAGCCACAAGTACATACACTCTACCTTTTATCAATTCAATTTTGCGATCTAGCAGGTTCACGAGTCAGAGTGTACCGGTCGTATGCGTAAAAGCCGCGGACTTTTGAGCTAACCGGAGACATAATTGCTGTTTCTATAATTTACGTACATTTATGTTTATCTCTATACTATCTATCGTTCAATATTATCTTAAGAACTACTTATTTAAAAAATTATTATCGTTTCACACGTTTCTTCTTTTTACGTTTTATGCCAACATATTTTGCTGCAGTGTAGCATATACATATGGGCCATCGCACACAAAATTGCATAGCTACATATGCATAGCACAAGACCGTCTAGAGCAATAAGCATGTTATGTGGTGACTAAATGCTCATTGTTTATTGATTTAAACGGTTTTCATGCTATGCATATGCAGCTATGCAATCTTGTGTGCGATGGACCTATGTGTGCAAATATGTTTTACTTATTTGCAAACATAATATTTATTCGTGTCTTTATGTCGCATTAAACGTTATTCTAGAGAAGAACAGAATGAGTTCTTTAATGAATCCTTTAAGTTCTGCACGAAATGCAGAAAGAAATAGATTTTTCAAAAAAATGATAATGTCCAAAAAAAGATGATAGAAAATAAGGAATTCAAAGTTTCTATAATTTCATTATAGATTTTTGTCTCTAGTCAAATCTATATTGCTAGAAAGAATATCTATTATTTTAATATCTAGACTAGAAATAATACATCAATATCTATTCCTGTATATTGTATACAGGGTGGGGCGTTTATCTTGAGACAATAATATTTCTCGGTTGGAATGGATTATTTCGAAAACAGTTTCAGACAAAAGTTATTTGGTTTCGAGGGGACCATTGGTTTGACCTCGAAGAATTATTTGAAGGTCACATAAAGGTCACACCAATGTTTTTAAATGGCATCCCCTATTTTTTATTACATATTCTTGTAGCTGACCTCGAGAGCTTTCCAAAACGCTATAATAAAGTATTGTTTTATTAAGAACTTTTTGAGTTATTAAGGTTTGAAAGTTCCAATATTTTGACATAAATTACAAAATATCTTGTAAAATATTCATTTTGCTTCCTCATAGAGGAAGCTTTGTTTTCATGCGAAAATTTTTTTTTGGGTTTTCTATGCCAATGGGTTTAGAATGTTTAAAAAACTAAAAAAAAACACACTTATTTAAAAAGTGTGTGTGTGTGTGTGTGTGCGCGCAATAATTTTTCGCAATCTCACCTACGCATTTTTTGAGATATCCTCAAAAAAACACACTTTTGCTTCCTCATAGAGGAAGCTTTGTTTTCATGCGAAAAATTTTTTTCCAATTTTCAATGCCAATGGGTTTAGTATAATCTAAAAACTCAAAAAAACACACTAATTTAAAAAATGTGTGTGTGTGTGTGTGCGTGCGCAATAATTGTTATCGCTCCCACCTTCGCAATTTTCGAGATATCCACCAAAAAACACACTTTTTTCAAAAATGTGTGTGTGTGTGTATGTGCGCAATAATTGTTCGCGCTCTCTCCTCCGCAATTTTTGAGATATCGCCTTCTACTTTGGCACATTTAT